TCATCAAAAGAGCCATATATGGCTCGCGAGCCATGGGTTGCCGATCCCGGACATAGTGCATAGATTAGTTGGCGCGACCTAAGCCCACCGGCTCTCAAAAGTCGCACAGATTTCGCACGGACTGAAAATCTTTATCGAGCAGTAGAGGTGGTGGAGTGACTGTTTTTGTAAACCAGAAATGGTGCATACGCTGTAAGCCCTTATTTACTTACTCGGATGATTTGAAATACGCTATCACTGTCGTCTGCAAAGCGCCGACTGTTAAGAAGGTGCTTTAGTCCATGCTTTTTACCTTCTTTCCTTAAAGAGCCAAAGATTCTGGACGATTGGTGTTCCGGAAGAATCACTCCCGTCCCCCCAAACCACCAATTTTTCTTTCACATAATTTCTTCCAAATGCCTGCTCTTCCGCACTGCTGAACGAACGACCTTTCTTAGACATAATCACGCCGTTCTCCCCCGACTTTCCGATCCCCTTAGGTTTGCATATAAGGCCGGGTGTAGTACACTAGACGCTATTGCTCTGGTAGTCCATTCTGCTCTAAGATATCTAGATAGGGATTGCTGGGCGTACGCATGCGCATTTCTTGACTTCTCCTCAGCCTTCTCTTCCTTAATAAAATGTCTGCATGCGGCTCTCCCGGCTGGGGTGACTCTTCGCTTGGGAAATATTTCATTTCTTGCACTCAATTCGTCCAATGTGGCAAGCGAAAATCCACGGTCCATCCCAACACCTGTGAAGTTCTTCAAGGGTCTGTCGTATGCCCTCACCGCTTCTCCCTCCACACTGACGACCTACGATCGCCAAATGAATGCTTGTATTTTAGCTATGCTGATCGTGTGGCTGTTGGTCATCCTCTAAAAAGTCATGCACATCTGCTTGTTCTGAAATATGGCCTGAATTACGTCACAGCATGGCCTTTAGCCACTGTTCTTCTAATAAATAATCAGCAGTCAGTCCAGTGCGTTTTCTGATTTCAACCCTCCCTCAGTTCTGAATCCTTAGAAATACTGCCCAACGAGCTCTCCTCTTTCCGGTACCTTGGTGTTACTCTAACATCTAATCTTTCATTTCCTCTTCATATTGAAACCCTCTTCATTAAAATTCGTAAATTCCTATATTATATCACACACACCTCGAGCCCAAATCTGGCAATTTTTGATGCATGCATCCTCCACCTTATTATCTCCGGTTCTCCAGTTATTTTTCCAGCCTTGCTTAGAAAGACTTGCTGATTTTCAAACGTATTCTCCGAATAACCTCTTCGACTGCCGGTATCAAGCTCGCTTTGTCAATCAGTTCGTTGATGAGGTTGCCAATCCGTCCACCCACTCTGAATTAATGGCTGCGAAGTCTTCCCGTACTATGCACAGAAGCTTCCCACATATGGCCTGTCGTAAATCGGCCTATCAGCATTCTGTACTCACATTCCTAGCGAGCTACATGGCGTGTAAAGAAACAGAAATCCAGAAATTGAGATTGGACCTGTCTGCATAACAGATTTCGATTTCATTGAAACCCTCTATATTTGTGAGTATTTTGTTAAGTTGTACCGTGGTCTTTAAGGGAATGGAGCCGTTTTGCTGAAAGCTTTGGATGCCACCTTAAAAATAAAGCGTAAATTTCTATCTCACAGACATGTCGAGACAAAAAACTAGCGTACGACCCGGCAAACCTAACGAGCACAATGAACTGGATAAGGGTAGGGTTGGTGATCTTAGTCCCTTCATTTGGCCCCACTCATAAAACTCCTACCACCACCGATCCCATAGTGCACGCTGAGGTCCATTTTGTTGCCTGAGTGAAGTCACATATCGCGTCCTTGCCAACTTTCGTATAAACAAGCGGCAGCCTCTAGTGCAAATCTAGCTTCCGGCACACCTCTTAGGGTTGTTTTATG